TATATAATTTTGTCCATGTGTGTGCGTGTGTGTGTGTATGTATATATGTGTGTGTGTGTATATATATATATATATAATAATATATATATATATATATATATATTATATATATATATTATATATAATATAATGATGTGTTTTCTTTCTTCCTTTTTCGATCTTTCACATCGCATGTAAACATACTCTCAAATATTCCATAAGCATCCTTGCATAATTTCCGACTTCATCGATCAGGTAAGTCTACTAATGACAACAGGTAAGTCTATTTCATTACACATAATGTACCTGGCATTGCATTTCACATCAAAGTCTGGATAAAGGTGGAAGAGTCACAGACAAGCACGAACTACAAGCTTACACGAACTACAAGCACGAACTACAAGCTTACACGAACTACAACTACACTACAACACGAAATACACTTAAAAGATTATTTTCAACTGCAAAAAGAAAAGAAAGAAAAAAAAAAAACACGGACAAACAGCATCATGCTCCATTTTATCTGAGTCCAAATATCTGTCGGGGGTGCAAAGGGGTGAGGGAGAGAACGGGCAGTCGCGTCAATGGAGGCGGTACAAAGGTCTACCTGTCTTGTTATATCTTTTATTCATACCAAGCGACCTGGTGAACTGTTGTATCAGAGTTCAGCTCCCTCGTCAGCCAGTGGCAGTGACGTCATCAACCTCCACGTGGTGTTTTGTTTTGACTCGGAGCAAGTTGATTGGTCCTGCTATGGCGTGGCTTGCGAGGACTTCGAAGCCAGTAGGATCTTCTCCTACACCCTCCCTGGACACCATCAGTAAGACGATCGCACTGTATATATTATATATATACACGTCTTTACGTCTCTCTCTCTCTCTCTCTATCTATCTATCTCCTTTTCCTGTCCTCTCTCTCTTCCTTTTTCCTCTCCCTTCTCTCTCTTCCTTTCCTCCCTCTCCCTATCTTCTTTTCTTCTCCCTATCTTCTTCTTATCTTCCACAAATTTTCACAAATGAATCATGACTCGTTACATCACCAACATAGGAAAAAAAATGAAAACAGTCGGTGCTTCCACGCACATCCGAGCAGAGACAGACAAACACGGCCATGGACAGTCAACACCAGACAGCCAGCGTTTCCCGACCCAGACATCTTGGCCAGACAGGTAGAGGAGGAAGTAAGCGTGGGAGAGATAGCATGTCTAGACATTAATGTGGAGCTCACTTGAAAGGCCTATGCGAAAGCGATACTCGAACACTGGAGAACATGAGTAAGGTTGCCATTAAGAGGGTCACCAAGGACCTCTATATACGGTGATCCTTAATATTCGTAAATATAGGCTGATCAGGGCTGCTGACCGCAATTTCATTCATCTTATGGTATGATTCTCACTGAATTAATACACATATTTCTTGAATTACAACGACCACCATCGTGATCATTGCCATGGTCATCCTCAGCGCATTTATCCATTTATGATATCATTGTTATTAATGCTGTTTGTTTTATCGTCATTATCGTTATTTTACTATCATCATTATCAGCATTGTCATTGTCATTTTATCATTGTTGTTGTTATCCCTACTAAAAAGAAGTAGAGGGTATGTATCCTTTCTCAGACACAATGCGCCCAGTCGTGGTGTATCATAATCCCTCTGTATTATCTCCTCCGCCTAGGGTTGAGGGCGAGGAGTTCGCTTTGAAAGGGTGATACTCCTATGGAAACCACGTGCAAAAGCGGTCTTAAGAGTATACCGCGGGCCGATGGGGGAGCGTCCATTAAATCCGGGTCGGGAAGAAGAGAGAATCAGATGGTCGTGGAAGCCGTCGGTCTGGACCTTTTCGTGAGATCGAGCTGGGGATACGTTAAGGTGGATACGTTTAAGGTGGGATACGTTTCAGGTGGGATACGTTTAAGTGGGATTACGTTTAAAGGGATGGGATACGTTAATTACGTTTAAGTGGATACGTTTAAGTGGATACGTTTAAGTGGGATAAACTTTAAGGTGGGTACGTTTAAGGTGGATACGTTTTTTTTAGGTGGATCGTTTAAGGTGGGTTACGTTTCAACGGGATACGTTTAAGGTGGGATACGTTTAGGGTACTTAAGGATACGTTTTCGTGGGTACGTTTAAGGTGGATACGTTAATGGGTTTAAGTGGAGTTAAAGGATACGTTTAAGGGATACGTTTAAGGGATACGTTTAAAGGTGGATACGTTTTAAGTGGATACGTTTCAAGGTGGGATACGTAAGTGATACGTTTAGGTGGGATACGTTTAAGTGGATACGTTTAAGTGGATACGTTTTGGATCAGGTGGATACGTTTAAGGTGATACGTTTAAGGTGGGTTTAAGGTGGGATCGTTTAGTGGACACGTTAGGTGGGATATTAAGGTGGGATACGTTAAGGTGACTTTAGTTGGTACGTTTGGGATACGTTTAAGGTGGGATACGTTTCGTGGGATACGTTTCAGTGGGACTACGTTTCAGGTGGGAACGTTTAAGGTGGACACGTTAAGATACGTTAATGGTGATAGTTTAAGTGGGTACTTAAAGTAGAACGTATTAGTGAGGGTACGTTTAAGTGGATTTACGTTTCACTTGGATACGTTTCAGTGGGATACGTTTCCAGGATGCGATACGTTTAAGGTGGATACGTTTAGGTGGGTTACTTTAACGTGGGAGACTTTCAGGCTGGAACGTTTATGGATACGTAAAGGTGATTTTACTTTCAGGTGGGATAACGTTTAAGTGATACGTTAAATGGGATACGTTAATGGTGGTGCGTTTAAGGTTGGTGATACGTTATGGTGGGATACGTTTCAGTGGATACGTTTAAAGTGGATACTTTTTCAGTGGATACGTTTAATGGGATAACCTTTAAGTGGGGTCACGTTTAGGTTGGATTACGTTATGTGGGATACGTTTAAGGATAAAAGTAATCTGACGAGGACACGACACGATCAAGGTAAATAGCATTGGAAGTGCCTTTAAAATTGATTTATTTTTGTTCAGGTTTGCTCGTATATAGTTATCCACAGGAGGTGTATCTATAGGTATTCAAGGAGGTGTATCTTATCGAATA